GATTTCTTTACTAGTAGTCGAAACGTAAATATTTTGAAAGATTAAGCAGAGCTTTCACTCAAGTTCAGAAAAACGTTAATATATTTTTTCCAAAACATTAACATGCCTTATTATAAATTAAACATTTTAAAACAATATGAAGCAAAATACAAGATGCATATTTTTATATTTTATCTCAGTACGTTTTATTTGCATCATCGTGTTTACTTTAAAACAAAGTCAAACAATTGCTTATAACTGAATTTTGAATCAAGTATAAAAATTGTAAATAATAGCAAAATAAAAATAATACTACGCATCAAATGACCTTAATCTCAACATTTGCCATTTCCCTATTGCACGCTTTATGAAAATATATTGGAACAAAATATCTTCTTTGAAATTCTTATTTCATAAAACGTATTTAGTTGGGTAAATTATAAATTGGTACGTTACCTAGAAGTAACATTGTTCAACTGAGAAGCCAACAAAAATATAATCCATGGTTTAAATGATGTAGTCTCATGAGTACAAATGATAGAATAAATTGAAAAATGTGGGATATATAAAATTCTTTGTATCTGTAGTCGAGTTTATATTGGTCAAACGTGTAGAAATGTATAATTCAGGATTAAGGAACATAAAAACGCGATAGAAAAATATAAAGTAAATGAATCGGTATTAGTAGAACTCCCCGAAAGTCGTAATTCAGACATTTTTTTTTTTAGAATATTTTACCATTTTTCTTTAGAAATATATAAGCACACATTTATGACCGCAATAAACTATACTTGTCGATATTTTATTGAAAAATTATTTATATACCGGCTGTTTGCATAGAAAAGTTTTGGATACTAATCATAGCGTTAATATCAGGTGTTATTCTACTTAAAATTAGTTTAGGTGGATATAGATTGCGCTATATTCTACTATAGAATGAAAGGGAAATAAGGAACTTTAAATAAAAACTCATCAACGCAATCTCCATTCTCATATGATATAATAATGGACATATTATCAAAACGTCCTTTTTTCCTATACTCAAAGGGCCAGGTGTGGCCCAGTGATCAGCGCGTTGAACGGTGGATCTGCGTGTATACTGTTCACGTCTCATTACCTCAAAAAGATCAATCAATCAATCAGTACTATGCTACACTCTTAAACCTTCGTTTGCGGCTTGTGTAAAACTGCCTATCACCCCATGCGCAAAGATTCGCAAATTTTTGCGGCGGGCCATTCAAAATGTTGCGCGCTAAATGTTTGCATCATATCATGTCAACCGCAGTCGTCTACGCTTACATCATATGATATCAACCGCAGTTGAAGAGTTAAGGTAGTAGGTGCGTTGTAAGTATGACGGCGAAATCCCACTATTCGTTTAGAGTAGCACAAGAGTGGGCGGTAGGTGTTATTGAGTGCAGTCTTCCCTCTGGTCTATCAGTTCAAATATAGAGACGGTGAACCCAGGTAGCCCTTGGGTAGCTTTGAATTAGTTATACTTATCTAACAGTATTCGATGTTGAACATAAAAAATGCAAAGTAAACACAAGGTTAATCAAAAATTAAATCTGCTTTAGACTATGGTTTTGAGGATTATAATGTTTTACACACCGCATAGATTCGTCACGTAAAACAGTCAATATCAAAATCAAAAAGAGGACAGAAGATATCTGTCAAATACATTACAAAACACCGAAACAAATAAAGAAATTATATATTTTATTTCATACTTTTGAAAGCTCTTACTTGTTAAAAAAAGTTATTAACAATTGAGAAAATTCATAATAATAGCACCCCCATGACAGGTGGACACGACGTCAGAGACAGTGATATCCACGCAATGGATCAACGTGTCTCAACATGACTAGTCATGTCTTTCTCACCACAACGAGTACACGTCAAAAAAACCACAAGAAGAATGTCAGAACTACTGACACTGGAAACACCTGAGAAGGTCAGAAATATACAGTTTAGATAATCTGCCTTAACAGTGGCAGGTGGACGTGCTGATGTAAACGTCAAATTCAGAACATTGGTAGGCTGCAGTAGTCCATCTGCTCGAGAGGAGACGTGTCACACAGCTGAACCTCCTTGGCTGGAGAAACCAGCAAAGATCTCTCACTCGGGTGTGTTCCTTAAATAATTCTCAACGATTACACAGGCATGCGAATTTAAATTTCATAAAAGTTGTTTTGAGTTTAATAACAGCTTTTCCATAATTCAGCTAAGCAGATTTCGAAAATAATATATATATTTTTCCTATCACGTAATGAATTTTTACAAATCGGAAAGAAAACTCTTACTTAGATCAAATTATTATTTCGTTTAGCACAATGAAAATTTTTTATTATTACGTTTGTTAACAAAAATACAAACAAATTGAAGAAAAGGGGAAAACAATGATGTCAAACTAATGTGCATCCTTATTCATCCTGATTTTTGTGTGTGAAATCTACGTTTTTAGTCTCAAAAATACGTGTTGTGGTCCTTCTTTTATGCATTGCATTATCAGGTTTTGTGAAAAATCTGTACGTGGTGGAAAAAATGGATATCATTTTAAGATTCAGCATACAGTAATTACTGTAGAACATGTAAAATTTTCAAGACAATAAAACCATCGAAGGCCTGTGTAACTCCTCACTAGGAATTCTAAGTAGCATGGGAAGTAACCTCAATAAGTATGTCCCCAGTGGCTTTTGATTTCAGGTGGAGGTCACTATGGTGTGTTGTAGATGTTTCTACCAAAATGTCCCCAGAACATAACTTCTTGACTGACTTTGGAGAGCCAGCAAGCCCCTCTAATCCCTTCTGAATAAAAAAGGGAGACATTATTCTAATGGTTTCCTCAGTCAAAGAATGAATTATGAGAAAACGAGATAACTTACCTATTAACTGTTTATTTACTTTTTTTTTTCTGTATTTGGGAGATCCATAAGAAAAAGAAAGTTATTCGGTGCACACTGACTCACCCACCATGGAGCTCTACGAGGGGTGAACTACAATGTCACACATGAACAATGTAGCTATGCCAGGGTTCGTGGGCACTATACTCAAATACCAGCATTAATTAGACACAATGTTCACAACACTAGATGAGAACGTCCAACACTGGCAATTAGTTGACCCTAGCCCAACAGGACATCCAATTGACCCAGGGGTAGCCACTCCAAGGACACCCATCTAAAGGAATTCAATGCCAAAGTGATGTGTTGAAATGTCAGTGACATAAATTGACCCATCATTGACCCCTCTCAATCACCAGAATCCTCTCCTCTCGTTCACGGGATACCACTCACGGAAAAAACGTGGGTGGATGTTTGTATCCCAGAGGAGATATACTGAAGATAGAGAACCTTCCACAGGAGGTCCTCTCACCACATATAGGTATCCACCTCGAGAGGAGTAAATAGTGTGCAATAATTGTACACTAACTGAAACGTCCCATCAGATATTAAGAAATAGTGATACAAAACATTAAATGTGTATTCACGATATTTTATGTAAAGTGAAATAACTATGTTTACTGACTTTTAAAGTCAGTGGCATACTAAAAACTCTAGTTAAAGTATGGTGAACATTAAGTTTATGTATAAAATATATAACTATGAAGAGTTTGAACCATTGATTTTTAATATTAAGTATAAAGTAAATACATCAACAGCGACAATGTATTATCACTGAAAATCACATTTTTGGAAATGTACAGTCTAATTGAATACAAAAATTGTATTTAACTGAAATGCATCAATACACATTCAGTGTTTTGTAATGTGAACATTAAATTTATGTAGAGTTTGAACAGTTTATTTTCAATATTAAACCTAATGTATTATAATTGACTTTTATTTTAATAAAAGTTTTTCATTTCTTCTTATAGTAAAACAGTGTGACCAACGTTTATGTAGCCAGTCAGTGGTTTTGAATAACAAACACATCAGACTTGCCTAACTTGTTTCATATAAAAAATCTTCTTTTTCTCTGTCTACCCTTTCCCTGTGATCACGTCAAAGTTTAGCTAGCTTGATGTCAGTGTCCAGATTGTCTGAGTCTTAACGTTAGACAGCTTCAGTGTCTTATGAACTTTTAATAGAAAATGGATAGATAAATAGTAAGTCATTCATTTGTTATTTTTAGTTGTAGCAAAATGAATTACATAAAGGTGAAAGAGAAAGTATTAAATTACTGCATGCTATTTAAATAAGAATCCATTTTCAGGACGAGAAGTGATTTACACTGCCTTATTCAAATAATATGTATTTTATAATAGTTGACTTGTTGAAATACGAATTTTTTTCCTTTTTAGGATGTAAAAAGTATGCTTAAATATAGAAACTATAATCAGTATATGTTAATTGTGTAGTAAATCATACAAACGCAATCGACTGTCTTGTTCATTTGTTTTAATTATTGCATGATATTTAAATAGCATCCTTTTCAGGACGATTTACATACAAATGGTCAGTAAATGTAATTAAATACAGAACTAATGAATTAGTGCTTTATACCAACTGTATTAAATTTAGTCATGTTAAGACACATTGATCCACTTAGTGGACATTATTGTCTCTGACGTCATGTCCATCTGTCATGGTGGCCTAGCGACGCATTCTCTATGGTGACATCATTGTATCGCACCAGTGCCCTCTGGTTCCACCTCGTGGAACTATTACGTAATCGTCTCTGACGTTCTGCTGTCATGTTTGCCTGTCATGGAGGTCTAGCAACTCGCCCTCTGGTGACACTTCGTCGAACTATGACATCATCGTCTCTACCCCTTCTCTCCCTCCCTCCCTTAGGTCGATACACGTGTGATGCCCTCTAACGGCGTGCCATGCAGGTACAGCTCTAATAACTCATGTATGACAGATGTGGATCATCCACGTATTATGACATTGACTCACAACTGGGTGAGCGATTTTAATCATACTTTGAGAACTGGTTTAAGTGGTACTTTATATGATGTCTGTGTCACATCCTCTGTGCGACAAGTCAAGTCCTACTTCAAAAACAGACATAGTGAAAACGAGCAATAATGCTTTCTTTCTCTACAGCTATATTCATAGGAACGACAGAAGAAACGACGCAGCTTTATATCAACAATAAGCTACAGCAAATAGAACATGAGGTGTCCGATTCTTTCCAAAGAGTTAATCAGTCTTTAGAGTTTATTTATAAATGGAATTTTGATGTTGCCGGTGTAAACCCTGGTCTTCTGGAAGCACAAGGCTTAACACGTAAGTAGAAATAAGTTTTAACATTAAAGTTCATCCTTTTTATGCTAGGATATGGAATTATACCACTTGCTAAAGTTAATAATGTGTCTTTGAATACTCAATAAGAATATTACTGGGTTCTTTTCTTTTTTTTTGTTGTTGTTGTTTGGTAAATCAGTAGCAACAATATTAATAAAGAATCTTATGCACCAGTGAGATTTTGCGTATACTAATGCAGGTATGTATTCATTATAAGTCGTATCTAATAGTAGAATAAATCACTGAGAAAGCATAAAAATTATTCAAACACTTGTTGACTTTACTTGTATATTAGTCCTAGAATCATGGGTGAAACTCGAACCCACACTAAATCAATAATAATACAGGTGTGCTAATTTACGGTTATTGTTCATCGAAGCATGAATCAAACAAGAAGAATACATCATTGCAATCTCTACATAAATATCTTTACAATGTGAATATTTCATGAACTTCGAATAACAGATCTGAGTTAATACTGCGCAAGTCCACTGCATGTTGATATCGACCTTACTATTCTGTGTTCTCCTGAGAAACACAATGTGAAAGGGCATTATCTATTACCCGAAGGAGAATGTTTTAATAAATTATCATTGATCATTATACGTGTTATTGACTCGACAACTATAACATACTGCTAGTGGAGCTCGCAGTCTTACCGCAATAAATTATCCCATCTACTTGCAAGATAATAATAATCATTTATAATGTTCTTTTGCTTTCATATGTTATTCAACCATATCAAAGCAACACTATTGATGGTGACTTTATCAGCTCAAACGATTACAAAACTCGGTGTAATAGACGCGTGAAATAATGCCTATTCAAATATATATATATACATTTAGAATGTTGACAGACAGCCTCGCAATGTTTGGTTGTTCAGGGCTTTAGGGCGCAAAGCAGCTAGACCATCTGCGCCAAACAGCCGTTCAAAGGGCAAAGAAATGTAAAACTATATAAAAAGTAAAAGGAAACAACCTAAAAGCTAAACAAGTCTTGAAAAGAACAACATACATTGTGTGTCCACAATATTTTTTTGGGATGTGTGATTTCGCTGTCTTTTGTTAAAACATTTGGTTTACTAAATCATTAGTATGCCCATAAACAAACTGCAAAAGTTTATATGATTCCAGTAACAATGGATTGTGTGTTTATTTCAGTAGAAGTCTTCGTATGTTTTTAATTTCCTTTTCCATTAGTTTCTTGTTTACTTGTAGCGCCTGACGTCAGCGGTGTTCTAAAATACTATTGGTAAACACTCAGAGAATGCTAACAAATGCTAGCAAGTAAAGCAGATAAAATAACAGACAAATATAGTTAAAACCGCATAGATGACGAAAATAACAAAATTAAATAATAGGTTGATCAATCGCCAAGTTTTTCTATTTTTATTAAAAGAGAATGACGTTTCGAACCAGCGATCTTTCGTCAGATCGTACTGTACGATCTGACGAAAAGCGCTAGCTCGAAACGTCATCCTTCTTTTAATGAGAAAATATAAAAAACTTGGCGATTGTTCAACCTATTATTTAATTCAGATCAAAATAACACTCATTATAGTTTTAAAACAATAGACGGTGTAAATAATTGTCAATATATATTGTTTATTTCAACACAGTTTTTTTTTCTTTATCGGAAAGAATATTTTTGGATAATTTCGTGTTATCTATAATATTATTATACTAGCAGAGACCCGCAAAACATTTGCGGCGAAATTAGTATTTTTTATTGCAACAGTACTTCTATAAATACAGGATTTCTAGAATAATACAAAATAATTCTAATCGCAGACATTAGTTAAGCCTTTATTAATTACGGTCTATAGTCGATAAACAGATAAATTAACACTGTAACTTTTGTACGTTTTTTTTCCTTCAGTTCAGTTAGGGATAGAATCCGGGTTTCGATACCCGTGGTGGGCAGAGCACAGATAGCCCCTCGTGTAGCTTTATGCTAAACCTTACCGCTCTTAATACTATCAATAAATAATCTTCTAATAGTATTCTACAACGTAACGTTAAACCTTTTTAAAAACTTTGATAAGCTATTAATATGTTTTATAAGATGTCTAGTAAAGTATATTTAAGTCCTTTTTGGCGTAACTTGACGATTTAACAAAGATATGTTTTCAAATTGCGAAAAAGGTGCAATTTTTGGATACCTTTTAATCCAGATATATCTTTAATTTTCGATCAATCGTAGACTAGTCGCTTCTAATTGAAAGGAAGCTAAACTACGTAAATTACGTAATAAATTGCTATGACATCAGTGCGTGATCGAGAAACAGACAGACAGATACACACTGAGTTTTTTAGTATTAGATATTATTTCAATGTCTGTCTTACAGCACTATTTCCAGTTAGGTTGTTTGTGCTAAATTTGTGTTTTGTATATTTTAAAATAGTCAAAGGAAGGTAAAATACGAAAGTAAGTAAAGAACAAAATGCAGTGAAAATGTCCTAGTTTGTTTATATTTTTAAACATGGTTAAGAAACTGAAGAAACTGACCCATAACCCGTAAACAGTTAAAAGAGTGTCACCGTCACCAAAGACGCTGTTCAACATCAAAGTCAAATCTCAAGATGAACTATGTCTAAAATGTTGCTACCAACAGTAGTCTTAGCGACAGCATGTAGGTAAAATGTGGGCAATCGTGACTTGAGTGTCACAAATGACACACACTGGCAGATTAGTCCGTTGTAAAACAAATCGATGTATAAGGAAACTGAGGACAGTGCAGGGAAATCTTCCTCTCTACATAAACTAGACGGCCAAACAACAATAGTAGGACTTCTCTGGAAAAGTTTGTTGTGACGCTGTCACTTCAGATTTACTGTCAAATGGAACGAAGTCCTACATTCATTGCAGGCTTGAATTCACATAAGGGACAGGCAGGGCTGTGACATCGAGAGAGCAAAATGATCTTGCTGCAGTGTTAGCGAGCTTGATGCTACGAATGCCAACATGAATAGAGAGGAATAAAACTACACATGTGTCAGCCTTTACTAATATCCAAAGGAAATGGCTGACAACAGGCATTAAGCAATTCCAGGACCATCAAAGAGATAAACGAGTCAGCATATATTGTACAATTAGTGTATTGCTTAGCAGTTTTGTGGTTGTTTGAAGTTCATTGACGCAAAGCAAAAGGGTTATCTGCGCCAAACAACTGGTATAAAACGAAAAATGACCCATAAAAAGCTAAAAACACGATCAATCTGGACAGTGTCGCCGTCGCTAATGACATTTCAACGTCGGTTGTAAACTCTGAGAAAATATATGAATAAAATGGTGCCTCGTTCGCAGACTTAACGACGGCACGAAAGCAAGACATGGACAATTGTGACTTGAGTCTCACAAATGCCATACATTGGTGAATCAGTCTCAGGTAAAAGAAAATGATGAGTAAAAAACTGTGACCAATGCGTAGCCTTGCCAAGACAACTTCCTCCCTCTGATCCTTATGGAAACTAGACGGCCAAAGAACAACAGAAGATCTGATGTAGAAAAGCTTGTTGTGAAAGTTGCTCACCCCAAATCCACTGCTATCTAGCGCGAAGCTGGGCCTTGATCACAGGACTGTAGTCCATATACGGGACAGGTACAGCTGTGGCAATGCCAAAGCAGATGGACTTAGATGCAGTATTAGCATGCTCGTTCCCTAGAATACCGACATGCCCGGGTATCCAGAAAAGCTGGATAGAAATGGATGAGATAGAAAACTTAGTCAGTCGTTTCATTTCTAAGAGAACAGGGTGAGAACTCACCCTAAGTATTTCTAGGGCCAGTAGAGAGCTAATAAAGTCAGAGTAAATAGTGTATTGCTTAGATTCAACATGATCCAGAGAAAGTGAAATCACAGATAACCGTAGTGAAAGCAGGATCTGTAGATGGGGATATTGTGAGCAACCACAGAGTCACCTGATTTTAACCCATCCATAAAATTGGGAATAGAAGAATATTTTGAAAGGTGTTAATAAAAGAGAAGGCAGTACTTCCAGTCGAGAATATCTGACTTCTTCAGGTGAATGTAAGATGGGTTACAATCAAAGATTGTAACATGTCTTGGTGGGATGGGCTTATCATCAAATTTTGCAATGTCATCCAATTTTAGTCCATGTCAGTCAATTATGCCTGAAGAGGAAAACCAAAGGTACAAAAGGTACATCATGTTTTGTTGAGTTTTGCATTTTACAAATAGATGAAATGCTGGGTAAAGATCGAAGTTCCACATCATATTTCAAAGAAAGCAAGTGTCTGAGGTAAAGTAGAGATCTGTATGATTCACTGTAAAAACTCTGGACTGGAGAAGGGCAGATAGCCAAAGTTCTGATGATTCACAGGGTCTAAAGCTTCAATGCAGAGACCCTGCCTGAACAACATACCAAATATCAATTGTCCAATTCAGATGGAATGAGGGCATAATATACCTTGAGCACAGAACACCTCTTCACTCCCCAAGAAGTGGAAAAGAGGATGGTGAGGCTTTCATATCATACACTTCATTTTAAGCTGTTTAATATGCAGAAAAATTGTCAGTTTGTGGTCAAATACAAATCCAACGAACATTGTCTTACACACCACAAGAATTAAGGTACCTCCCAGTTGGAGCTTGAGATCAGAGTGGAATCCCTACTGGTGGCAAAAATGCAAACAATTTTAGACAATGAAAATGTGAAACGATTTGTTGTAGTCCACTCAGACAAATGTGCGAGTGCAATCTGAAGCTGGTGCTCAATATACCTTGTTTTCAATTGCCAATAGGAAGTTTAAAGTCATCGATATAGAGTCTGTTTGCAACTGTTAAGAGAAAGTTGTTCAGTGATGTCATATATCGTAATGCTGAAAAATATAACACTCAAGAAATTGTCCTGGGTGATTCCAAGTTATTCTGTTAAAGATCGAGATAATGTTGATCCAACCTAGCCTTAGAATGATCTTATGGTTAAAACATTTTGAATAAAAATGGGTAATCTGCCATGCACCCAATAGGAATTAAAGTCTCGTAAGATGTCGAACCGCCATGTACACTGACTGGTCACAAGTAAATAGACACCTAAATTTTCGTCATTTAACTGATTTATGCTTAACTAA